CTAGGTGGACCGCAAGCCACCCCCAAAGGATCCTTTCTAAAAGTAGTACAGAAAAAAAAAACATCAAGTGGGGATTGCTCCTATTTCACAGTACAGGTCAAGTCCTTGTAAACTGACTTAGGCAAAGCCTAGCCCATGGATCTCCCTAGCCACACTACAGCCCAGCAGACAATAACTTTCCTAGGCCAAGGATATCTCAGAATATTTGATGAAATTCTAGAATATTTTAATTATTTATTTTTCTTTTATATGCATTGTTGTTTTGCCTGAATGTATGTCTGTTTGCCTGCATGTATGTCAGATCTTAGAGTTACAGACAGTTGTGAGCTACAATGTAGGTTTTAGGAACTGAACCTGAGTGCTCTGGAAGACTGTTCTTAACCATTGAGCCATCTCTCTAGCCCCTCTAGAATATTTTATGTGCATGAATTTTGCCTATAAGTTGAGGAATAAATGAGTGTCTTGAAGCACTTGGGGCTCATCTATGGGCCCCAAGTTAAGACGCTCATCTAGGGTCTGGAGGATGGCTCAGCATTTAAGAGCACTGGCTGTTCTTCCAAAAGACCCAGGTTCAATTCCCAGAACCCACGTGGAAGCTCACAACTGTCTATAATTCTGACACCCTCATACATATATACATGAAGGCAAAACACCAATGCACACACATTTAAAAAAATTTTAAAAGATGTGTTCATCTAAAAGTTAGGGTGCTATTTCTAGAATGCCCAGCACTGAAGACCAGTGTGACGAATCCAAGCTCCATGCAGAAGGAGAACACACTGACAGGATGCAAACCTTTAGGGGACCCAGAGGCTTCCTGCCCAGAGCACCCTAACAGCTTCAACCTACAGGAGGACATTCAAGGCCAAGGAGAAGCACTGTCAATGGCCCAGCAACTCCAGGGGCTTCCGAGATAGCTTGGCCTGGGTGGTAGGGACCTCTTAGGCTCAATGGCTTCTACCTGGGGTCACTTCTCATCTACAGCCATCTAGGAAGGCATTAGCTCAGGCTGCAGAGCACTCTGGGAATTTCTACAGGGGAATGAGCATCCTCTGGGGTCGCAGAGTGAGAGGTTGAATCAAGCCACACCCAAACCTCTGAAGGGAATCACAGACGGGACACAGCCTGGGAAATAGGATAAAGGAGGTGCCAGCACACACCACTCAGGGAATCTAGGTCCACCTGGAGAGCTGTCTACCGATGTAATATAGACAAGCTCGGGGCCTCAGCTTCCCATAGGCAGGGAGCAGATGAGCCTAAGTGTGGCAAAAGAGAGCCCCATGTTTTCATCACCCTGACAGCACACATCTGGAGGAACCCTTCATGCTCATAGAACAAGAGGGGACAAGACTGGGATTCCTGTGGTCTCCCCACAGGTCAAGTTCTGTCCTCTGTGTGAGCAGCCTCACCAGTGCACACACAAACGCACCTCCATGGATCCAGGAAGGGCGGAGTGTTGTCCCCTCCTGCTGAAGCAAAAGAAAGCGTGGGCGGAGGTGGGACAGCACGTCTGGACTTCTGGCCATTAAGGCAGGGAAGTCAACTTAGACAAGAAAAACTGTCCAGCTCCAGTGCTCTCACTGGGGGCAGCTGAACTAGGCCTGGAGGGACTCAAGGTCAACTGAGCAAAAAGGAGCCATTTTAAAAGGCCTCGAGCTTTTAGAGCTGAGAGGCCCCGAGGCATCTGTTTTCCCAACTTCATGGGCTGACAGTGGTGCTCAGGGGTTCTGGGGAGCCGAAGGTCACCCAGCAAGGACACATCAAACTGACACCTGGCTCCATGCGCAGTGTGACTCCATGACGGTTCAAGGTGGAGATAGCTACGAAAGTGTCCCCGGGAGGAAGAAGAGGGCAACAGCTCTCCAACTACGACAGGAGACCAAGAACTTCGAGGCGATATGATATGTCGGGTCCGGTACAGTGATGGTGACAAATATGTTCCCTCAGGGAGGACCTGTGGTGCTGTTCCCACAAACTATCCTAAGTGGATCCACACCATGCCCCCCCAGAGGGAAGAAGTGGGAGATGGTGACTGTGACCTTCATTTCAGACCCTACTGAGCAGGGACCCTACCTAGAAGGCAAATGACCTACCCTGATCACACATCAGCCTGTGCATATAGAACAAATGTGAATTTTCCTGGCCAGACTTCCCCTGTCCTGTACCAAGGAGTCCAGCAGATCTGGCACCTGACTCCACAGCCTGGTACTATAACCAGAGCCTGGCCCACCCACTCCCCGCCCTCGCCTATCCAAGCACCAGATAGTCCAGGCACATTCAGGATGGTAAAAATAGCTACCAAGTCCTCTGCCAGGCCAGGATGCTGCCTGGGCACTCAGAGAGCCCTGGCTGGAGAAACAGCAGAGCCCTGCCCATGAAGATGGGAGAAATTAGAGTCAGGCCTGGGAAGCCACAGTTTGTCTACAAAATAAGCTAGTGCCTCAAATAATACTTCCTATGGTAGACACCTATGACTTTCTCTCTACCCACGCCATTCCACTCAAGATGAACCATTGCCCAGAGAAACGAGACCACTTAGATCCACCATGCTCCTCCACCCAGCTACCCTTCTACAAAAGCTGCAACCACAGCATGACCCCCCAGAGCAGCTCCGGGAGGGGACACCAAACAAGGCTGACACAATCATACCCCAGTGCACTCAGAGGCACTGCACAGCCTCCTATCCTCCCGGTATCAGGTCTGAGGGACACTGAGCTCCAGGCAGCAAGCGCCCACCCCAGGTCCAGCAGAAACCCACACAGGGGACACACAGGGGACAGCAGCACAGCTGCACTTACCCTCTGAACAGAGCAGGAGAAAAGCTGTGGGAACACTCTGATTTGTCCCCTCTGCTTCAAGTTTCAAGTAATTTCCTGCCCGGCTACAGTTCTCAGGCTGAGTGTCCTCCTCGGGCTCCCTGGGACTGTCAGGGGTGGGAGGAGCCAGTGCTAACTGGCCCTACACACACACACACACACACACACACACACACACACACACACACACACACACACACACACACACACTCCCTCCCTCCCTCTCTCTCTCTAGCTCGCTCTCTCCCCCTCTCGGCTCAGGCTCACTCTGGCTTGGAGGAAGCCAGTGGGATCAAACTCTGTCTGTAATCCCAGCCAGCTGGGTCCCCTGGGTTTCACTTATCATCCTGCAGCTATGCAGCTCTTGAATGACATCACAGTGGCTTCCCCTCCAGCCCAGCCCTGAGTCCCAACCCAGCCCCAACCTCAACCCCAGCTCAACCTGCCCCAGCACAGGGGTTGGACTGCAGCCTCTCAGCCCAGGCCAGCCAAGCCCCAGGCCCCAACCAAAAGCAGCTCCAAACTCCAGAGAACAAAGGCAAAGACCCCTGAGCAAAGGAGACTGAGCCCAGAGGGACAGGCAGGACCACCAGGCCCCGAGAGAAAGAAGCATCATGTGAAGGACTGAAATCTCTTTCCCCAAATTTTCCACATTTTTCCCACTCCCGGCAAATGGAAGGCAGAGCAGATGACAACAATTTTCCAGCTGCTGAGCAGTAAGGTGGAGAGATTTTTTTTTTTGCTTTGTTTTGTTTTTTTCTCCCCTCCCCAGCCCTACTCCTGCCATCTCCAAGCAGAGTCTAGGAGTCAGGATACTTCAGTGACTTAGAAGAAGAAGAAGAAAAGGCCCTGTATGTCCCAGGAGGTGGGGCAGAAGTCCCAACAGCTTTGGCTGCTGGCCCGGAACTTTGAGACAGTCTGAGTGAGGCTGCTCAGAATGCTGGTGGGCGTGTGACTGGAGCGTCTGAAGCCGCCTGGCTGTTGGTGCTGTTTACTGCCATCCCTGGCAATCGCAACCACCAGGACCACTTTTCCTGAGGGTCAGGATGCTCACTGTTGTCCCCAGCCAGTCAGATGTATGGCAACACACAGGCAGGTGCCTGGAAATCCCCACGGCAAGCGCGGCTTGCCCTAAAAGGTGACATTTCCAGAGCTGCCAGGACACCAGGTCCTTCCATGTTGTTTGTGCCGTACTTGGATCTCGGTTGAAACTCCAACTCAATTCCCAGGCCAGTGGGGACTTTGTTTCTTTCCTAGAAGACCCCCCCCCTGCTCTCCCTTAGCCCCCATCCCTCTGTGACACCTAGGTGCTTCCACAGCTCAAGGCTGTAGCCACTTTGAACCTGCCCTTGTAGCCCAGGAGGGAGAACCTGCCAGGGGAAGACCATTAGCCTCCCTAGGTCCCTCTGGACACCAGCCATCACACACTAGCTCCTTTCTTGCCTCCCAGTGTCAGCTGCCCACGAATATAGAGGAAGGGAGGAACAAAACCGTTACTCGGGGTTCCTGTAAAAGGGCCCCTGCCCTGCCTTCATTGATGACATGGCTAAGCAAGCAAGGCAGGCAGCCAGTGTCATAGACTCCAGTGTTAGTTTTTGCATATTAAAAATCAAACCCAGTGTCGGTGGTGGTGCACGCCTTTAATCTCAGCATTTGGGAGGCAGAAGCAGGAGGATCTCTGTGAGTTCGAGGCCACTCTGGTCTACAGAGTGAGTTCCAGGATAGCTAGAGCTGTTATACAGAGAATCTCTGTCTCAAAACCCAATAGATTCCAAAGACAGGGAGGGAAAATGGAGCTAGGAAAAGTCTCCTATATTTTGGACCCCAAACTGGTATAGACCACAGTCTATAGGGACAAGCAATGGCCCTCTTGTCACCACAGTACCTTCTAGAATCAACAATGCCCAGGCTCCTGAAAGGGTTAAGGTGCTCCCATAGACATGCGTGTTTCCACCCAGCCCAATTTGATTTCACTTCCCATATGAACACCATCTGTAGTATTTTGTGAATCACTAAAATAAATTTAACTTAAACCAGTTCTGAGTACCAAACCCCATGAGATCACACAATTGCTATGCTAATTATACACATTTTTCTTTTCTTTTGATGGTTTTAAATCTTTTGATAAGCTGGTCTTGAACTCACTATATAGCAGAAGATGACCTTGTATTCCTGATCCTCCTGCCTCCACCTTCTAAGGGCTTGGGATGCAGATGTGCACCACCTTGCCTGGCCTACGGACAGCATCATGGAAATAGTAGGTACAAGAACACGTGCTGATTTTCTGTGAAAACCGGAAAAGATGTTGGTGTAGAGGACATTCGCTACCATGAGTTCCGGTGCACTGCCGAAACCTCAGATGCGTGGTCGTCTTGGCCAAGCGTCTGTGGGTTGATATGGTTGGTGCATTCATTGTGGTCCTGGGTGTTCTATAATGTGGTGTGGCTGAACCAAGAAAGAAAGCATATGCAGATTTCTATAGAATTATGATTCCATGAAAGATCTTGTAGAAATGAGGAAGGCTGGTGCCTTTCAAAGTGTGGAGTGATTTCAGAATGTAAAGAATTCTTTGGATTGTGCCTTGATAGAAATTCATTGCTGAGCTGTGTTCCTGAACTATGAAATACGAATATGTGGGCTAAGGAGTAGTTGTCTCAATAAACAATTAACAATTATATGGATAGTTAAAACAAAAATAGAACAAATGCCAACAGTGACCCCAACCTGATGGGCTTTAGAAGGCAATGGAAGCCCCTGGGGAGTACTCTAAAAATCCTGACTTGCTGGACACAGCCTTCCCTTGGGAGGCTAGCACAGCATGTTCAAGTCTAGCCTGGGCTACACAGTGAGGTCCTCTGCCAAAAAAGAGAAAGATGGGTGTCTTATTTAGAGTTTCTATTGCTGTGAAGAGACACCATGACCATGGCAACTCTTATAAAGGAAAACATTTAACTGGGGATGACTTATAGTACAGAGATTTAGTCCATCATCATCATGGCAGGAAGCATGGCAGCATGCAGCCATGGTGCTGGAGAGGTAGTTTAGACTAGTCCACAGGCAACAGGAAGAGACATTGCCACGCTAGGCCTAGTTTGAGCGTATGAAACCTCAAAGTCCATCCCCAGTGACACACCTACTCCAACAAGGTCACACCTCCTAATAGGACCATTCCCTATGGACCAAGTATTCAAGCACAGGAGCTATAGGGGCCATTCCTATTCAAACTACTACAGCAGGGGAGGGAGCAAGTAAGGAGAGTGGGGCAGGGAGACCCTGGCCTCAGGCCCCACTTCACCCCCAAAAGACAAAACTCTCAGTGGCTTGGGAATCAGAATTTAAAATGCCCCTGTGGACACAGCCTGGTTTGGTCAATGATGGTCCTTGTGGAATCTAAACATTTCCTGTTATGGGACTTTATCATCTCCCCAAGAAAGACCATTTCATCTTTAAGTAATGGAAACAGGGGGCTCTTAACTCTCATTATTTTCATCTCTCAGTTGACGTTATGGTGCGCTTTGGGTGGCTAAAAACAAACCAATGTCCTCCAAGAGACCCCTATAGGTACTCAGGGTGTGCAATGTCCTCTGAACTCCTTGGATAGCCTACTCTCACTGGCTTATCTGTGCCACTGATCAGCTCCTAGGGCTCCTTGTCACTCTCACAAGGAGGCTCTATGGCAGCTCACGTGAGTATTAGGCTACCTTACACTGCCTGGAGGCCATACTTTCCATAACACAGCCTTGGAGTACACCTAACCCCATTGCTTATGACAATTCGTCATCTGCTAGGGATGTAGCTGCTGAGAGCATGTCATCTGGGTGGCTCTGTCTCACTGGGCCAATACATACCACACATGCTTGCTCCAGGATATGTAATTTGCCTTCCCTTTCTCTGTTCAACCATTATGGCACTGAATGTCCAGCAAAGACAAGAGTCTCATGAAATGACCCAGCCCTGGCAAATGCGATGCCATTGAAACAGTAAAATGCTCAGTACATACAGCTCTGTCTGACTTCTGTACAGTCAGCGTTCCCTTCATCTGAGAGACAGTCTGGAGCAGAGTAGCTTTATGCACAAGTTCTAGAATCTAGAAACAGGAAGGTGGACCCAGAGACCTTGTGACTGTTTCCAGGTGCCCAGCATTCATCGAGTCCCCAGATTTGCTGCCACTGTGGGCAGCCATCCCAGGCCATTTCCTAGAATCACAAGACAGTCAGCTCAAGGGACTTGCTGAGTTCAGCTGCTGGTCTGCCCAATTCCAATCATCCATCTCTAGGAAGCAGAGATCCCCACAGATGGTGAGAGCCAGAGCCAGGACCACAACACAGGGCCACTGGCTCCCAGAAGGAAACCCTTATGCCACATCTGCAACACTTGCCCAGAAGGAGGTGGCTGGAGGGTCCCAGAGCCCCAGCACACAGGAACCATAACCATCTCCTGCTGGTCCAACAGTGCAAAAATGCTGAGACAATAGAGGGCCACACCTCACTGGAAAAACCGCTTCTGCCTGCAGATCCAATGACTTCTCCATCCTTCCCAGGACAGCCTTGCTCCAGCAGAATCCATATCTGGGGGGAAGGGAGCTCAGCTTGCAATGGCCACAACTTTGAGAGTCTTGGTCCTTTCTCACTGTTTCTATCCTAACCCCTTTTCTCTGTTCACTAGTGGATGTAGAAGCATCTCCCCAGGCCTGGCTCTTGGCTCTTGGTTAGTAACTGCCCCCCTTTCTTCTCTCTCCCTCCCCTTCTCTCTGTGTGCACACATGTGAGCATTTGTGAGAGTGAGTGTGTACTTGTGTGTCTGTGTGTATAGAGATCAGAGGCCAACCTCAAATGTCATTCCTCAGGCACTGTTTACCTCTTTCCCTTGAGACAAGGTTCCTCCCTGGCCTAGAATTCACTAAGAAGGCCAAGGAGACTGGCCAGTGAGCCCCAGGGATCCTCCTGTGCCCACCTCCCCATAACTGGGATTATAAAGGCCTACCCACCACACCTGGCTTTGTACATTGGTACTTGGGTCTTCATGCTTGCAAGGCAAACAGTTTGACAGCTAAGTCATCTCCTCGGCCCCTTGGCTCTTGTTCTTAAGGGACAAAATGATTGTGCACTTTGTCTTCTGGCAGTCTAGGGATTAGGAAAGAAACAGGAAACAGAATGGTGTCCCCTGGAGAGATACTTCATGGTCCTTGCAGTAAAGCCGACAGAGATTGGGGCGGGGAGTACAGCACCGGGTGGTTGCTACCCAGGGAACATGTAACCAGAGGCACTGTAGGTTTTACCTGGAAGAAATGCCATTGGCATACAGCAGGTAGATCCGAGCTGGAGAGAGGGAGGAATGTGCAGGGAGGGGAAACTGCGTCACCAAAAGACTGGACTCCAATTGAGCTGCTTACTGCATGACATCGGCTGGCTTAGTTCTCATTGTGGCAATATACGCTGAGGGAAGCATGGCGCTCTAACATTTCTTGTTCTAGCGAGAACCTAGAACAATGCCATCAAGGAGGTAGCAGGCATGGTCAGATGGGTGGAGGCAGAAAGAGGCATCCCACACCTATGACAGACATGACATCAAGCTGCTGAAGGTGCAGGGAGGGAGGGAGGAAGAGGAGGCACGGTGAGAAAAGGGGAGGAGGGCCTATTGCCTGGGCCAGCTACAGCCTGAGATTCTGTATGCACAAGTGATCGTATGTGTGCATGCATGCGAGTGTGTGTGCACGTGTTCACGTACGCATATGTATATGTGTGTGACAGAAACATGGTCCCAGAATCCCCCCCACATACACACCCCAGTGCAGAAAACTTGAAGAAGCACAGTTTAAGGCTATGCGGGCAGGGCAGGCTGTGGAGAGCAAGCCTTCTGGGGGTCTCCACACCTAATCCAGGAAAGCAGCAGGCAGGACCAGTCTGGGAGTTTGTTCCCTGAGCACAGGATAAGATTATGCAGGAAGGAGACTGTCAACTCCCAGGCAGATGTAGGAGTTGGACAAAGGACAGAGGGACATCCACCCATGGCCCTCCTGTCTCTTCCTCACCCTCTGCTGCCAGCACGGACACGCTTCAGAAACATCTTCACCTGGGAAGGTGGAGGAGAAGGAAAAGAAGGATGGACGAGTTTGGGGAGCAAAACAGAATTAATGCCTGCATCCATTCACCAGGTGTCCATGCTTAAACAGGTGTCTCTCGCTGGCCTCCATAACTGCCTACCCAATGCAGCAGCCAGGAGGAGCCAGCTGAAGATGATCCTGTCCACCCAGTCTTCCTGCTCCCCAAGACAATGGAGCATCAAAAGGGGACGGGGAGGCACACAGCCAGGGCTCAGGGGCACCAGCAGTAAATGATAAAGACAGAGGAGGCCACATGACAGCCCAGAACCACCCACCTGTAAACCAGTGACAAGGCTACTACTGAGGTCCCCTGAAGGGGCTCCCTGGGAATGGCATGCATCCCCCGGAGAGCTATGAACATGACGATATGTGGCAACACCTCTGTGTAGTCCATGGTCACACAAGGACCCACCTCCATCACTGGTCAATCTCAAAGCTTCGCCCAAAATGACATAAGCTTTCAGCATGACAGACGTCCTGGGGCCAAAGGGGATGTGTGTTCTTAGCATGCGGCTGAGTGCGGAACTGGAAGTCCAGGCTCCCAGCACACTAGAGGGGGCTGTGTAGAGTGACCCCTGGAGTTCTCTACAGAGGGGTGTTTGCAAGCTAATCCAGGGGTTCAGTGCACAAGAAGGAACTGTGTGGAGGGGTCAGTGGAGTTTTCTACATGAGTGAGTGCAGGCTGGGCAGCAGACACAGATGGTCTGTGTTCCCCTTTAAACCAGGCAGTTTCCTTCTGTGGTGAGTGAAGAGACCTTCCCTGACTCCCAAGCCCTCCACCCCACAGGGAACCTTCCTGGATAGGAGGCAGCCCCTGGTCTAGCCCCGGCCCTTCCTACCCTGGCATTCTACAAGGAGAACCTGTGGGGACTCAGAGGTCCCCAAAGACGGAGGGGGCTCTGAGGGAGGAAGGGAGAGGAAAGATCTGAGGAAAGCTCTTGCTTTCATATCGAAGTCTGACCTCACTGGCCTGGGGGGGGGTGCACAGAACCAACATCAAAGAAGGCTTGCTGCTGCCTTTTTCCTCCCTCAAGCAATCAAAGCCAACATACAACTAAAGCCTCTGATAAGTGTCAGTGACAGCTGTCAAGACGGGAAACTAGGCAGTGAGAAGTCAGGGCCTCGCCCTCAGCCAGCAAAGCCTTGGCTCACAAGGCAAGGAGCGTCCATCTGGAGCCAGCAGGACTGGAGGCCATCCAGCTCTGCCCTTGGGAGAGGCTTTGGGCGCAAACAGTTTCAAGAAAGGAGAGAAGAGGGAACAGGGAGTTTGGAGTGGAAGACACTGAGTCCTCTTTACCCAGAAAGCAAGTCTTGTGTGTGTGGGGGGGCTCTAGAAGTCACTTTGTTCCTTTGCAGACTCTAGTCTCAATCACTCACATCACCCGCACAGGTGCATGGGTGGAAAAAGTCACCCCAACTTCAAGAAAAACCATCATTCCTGAGGCTGGGCAGTGGTGCTGCATGTCTTCAATCCCAGCACTCAGGAGGCAGAAGTAGGCGGACATGTGAGTTCGAGGTCAGCCTGGTCTATAGACTGAGTTCTAGGACAGCCAAGACATCACAG